CCCCCAGACACACACAGCCCCCCACAGACACACACAGCACCCAGACACACACAGCACCCAGACACACACAGCACCCCACAGACACACACAGCGCACCCGCAGACACACACAGCACCCCCAGATGCACACAACACCCTCAGACAGACAGCACCCTCACTCCCACACATATACAGCTCATATATATTATATAAAATAACCCTCAGTGAGTTAACAGACAAATAAAATTAGAAACCCAGAATGTGACGGCAGATAAAAACACCCTCACACACAGCACCCCTCTTACACAAACACACTGCGCACCTCACACATACAATACATCCAAATATATTTTATATATATATATATATATATATATATATATATATATATATACAAAAATCAAAACTGGGGATGCACTCACAGGACTTGCTTAAAGTGAAAAAAGGGACTTTTAATTATTCCATGTGAAATGTACAGAAAAATCAATTTTCCATTCACATGGAATAATTAAAAGTCCCTTTTTTCACTTTAACCAAGTCCTGTGAGTGCATCCTCAGTTTTGATTTTTGTATATTTCTGACGTTTGGGATATAGCACCCAGGCTATTAGTTCTTTCTTATTACTTAAAGGAGAGTGCCAAGCATCCTGTTTTTTTGAGATTATATATATATATATATATATATATACACACACATACAGCACCCCTCACACTGCACCACTACACACATTACGCTCCAGATACATGCTAGATCCCTTACCCTATATGCACTCTTAATCCTCTACACACACACACACAATCTTCTATACACACTCTGGGTCCTTTACACACTAGATCTCTTACACACACACTGCACCACCTACACACACACTACATTCCTTGTAAGCAAACACATACAACATTATCTAAACACACCCTCTCTACACACAGTAGTGTGTGTGTATAAGTGACACACACTACATCACCTATACACACACACTACTGCCCGTATGCACACACTCGCTACATCCCCTATAACACTATGCCCCTATACACGCACTCTCTACAGCCCCTAGCCACACATTTTACACCACAAAATTGACCTATTTACACAATACCACACCACACTCTACACACAGGCAATCCCACAAGCATGCGCCAAACACATGCACCATACACTTTCCTGGCCCTTTTGTCCTCTGGTATCCCACTTGTGGAGACACCAGAGACAATTTAAAAGCAAACACAGCGCAAGCATGTTATTACATTTGCTTGAGCTGCGCAGAACAAATTCAGGGCCTTTTTCTAATGCTAGAGCTCTTCAGCGGGGCTCTGCGCATTGAACCAACATGCTCACTTTCTCTGGCCCCGCCCCCTTTTTTGGGGGCCGCTCTAATTCAAAAATGCCCGGGCCTAATCTTTTTCCCAGTCCGGCCCTGTCTGTGTGTGTATATGTGTGTGTCGGTGTGTGTATCTGAGTGTATATGCCAGTGTGTGTTTCAGTGTGTGTAGATGTGTGCCAGTGTGTATCTGAGTGTGTGTGTATATCTGTATGTCAGTGTGTGTATCTGAGTGTGGGTATGTGTCAGTGTATGTATCTGTGTGTCACTGTGTGTTTCAGTGTGTGTATCTGAGTGTATGTGCCAGCGTATGTATCTGAGTGTATGTGGCACTGTGTGTATCTGGGTTTGTGTTTCAATATGTCAGTGTGTATCTAAGTGTGTGTATTCGCCGGTGTGTGTGTCGGATATTGTTGTGTGGGGAGTAATGAGGCATATGCATAGGATCATGACTCTGGGTTATAGAAAGATTAAGGTTAGATATTACTGAAAGAGTAAATTTAATGATGCAACAGGAAATTAAGATATGATCGCAGCTACGGGGTTAGTCCACAGGGGAACGTCATGTAAAGTTCCAGCTAATAAAGAGTTTTTTGAGTTAGAGTTTAGTGGATGCAATTTTATTTCACATTATTGTTATGTAAATGTCTTAGCTGGTAATGCAAGGATATTTAAAGCAACTATTGTTATTGCCACTGCTTTGGCTTGTCAGCCTTAATTTTATTAACTGGTAAGATTTTTGTTTCCTTAAACTTCTGTGAGCCAAGTCAAAATTTCTTTAAATACTAAAAATATTTCTACGCATCAAAAACTGAGTGACAGGGTTGTTACATACCGTAGTTACTTAGGAATCCAGGTTGAGATCATCAAATTGAACCTTTCACACATCTGTTTTTGATGCTGATCTTAAAGAAGGTGAAAATCCCAATTAGAAGTCATTTCTGGTAGTGTCACATATAGGGGGGGAAAAACAAGTAGATTGTAAAATATAAGATTTCTCCATGGATCAACAAACCTGTTACAAAAAAAAAAAAAATAGAAGGGCATTTTTTTGCAGATACCCTTCAATAAAATATAGCGCGGTAAGTGGTCTACAATAGCTTCAAAAATCGCTGCATCTTCACTTACATCATCAGAAATATCGTAGTACAAATCCAAATGACGCTATATAATGGTTTTATACAAAATGCATAAATAATGTGCCAAGTCAGGTAAATATGGGCTTTAAAAATATTGTGCAGGTCTTTGCTACTATAGAAGGTATTTTGTGACAAAGTAAATAGATTTTCCATGCACGCTGACATTGCATATGATCCACAAAGACAGTCATAAGAGACAGGGAAAGACAGATGTCAGAACATACTGTGGCTGTATATGGGATGCTATGCAGGGACGCCATCTGATAGCACAGTCATTGTAAGGAATAGGACCCAGTTCCATCCATCATATAGTCAGTGTAAATTGGAATGTTGCAAATACAGTTGGTAGTGAAAGAGTTACATTCTTCCACTGCTGGTCGGAAAACTGTACCCCTAAACAGAGGTATATGGGTTTGTAAGCTGGCTTCAGAGTGTTGAAAGTCATCACAGACAGCTCACTGAATTATACCCCATTTCAGTGGATTATGAAATAACTCACCTTTCTCGACAATACTTATTTCAGTATTAATACAATTGTTTTGGTTGATTTCACATAATGGCTCAAGCGGGTCTACAAAAAACGGATTTGTCAAGCACAATGAAAAATGCTTATCAATTCACGGGCCTTAGGCACAGAACGATGAAGTGATTTTTTTTTCCCAGGGTTATCTGATACCGAGATCAGAAACATGTTCAGAAACTTAAACCACACAGATGACTTCTCACAGGCAATTCTGCAGTCATGGAAAATAGGATTAATATGTTCGTTATGTCAAGGTATTGCAGGTCGTACCGCAGCTAACATTCGATTCATTCAAGTAATCAGTTACTGAAATAATAGCAATTACAGTTCAAGCAATCAGCGTAATCTATAGCAGCGTCAGTCATCACCCTGCAGCGTCATTTCTATGAGTCAATCAATTACGCCAAATAATGCAGAGAATATTTGAATAATAAATTATTATAAACCTATAATCCTAATTGTGAGAAGCATTCCTTTTGCGGGTTATAAATAGAGCTGTTTTTAATGAGAGAAACCTTCATTGTATAGATGATTACATAAGTAGCCTTTGTCCTACAGTGCGCAATGTGTCACTCACCTGTCCATATTAGTTATAGAGAACATGCGGTAAACTGAACTGAGATAGGTATGGCGTTTATCAAATTCCTGTTTGATAACACTTCTGCATTCCATCTGTTTAGTTTCTATATGGCATACCTGCACAGCACTTCAGAATATGTTGGTACTTTTTAAGTAAAGTGATGGAAAAAAACATATCAGATGAATGTGGATCACTTAATTACTCGATTAATGGGAACGCAGGACGTAGGATTTCCAACCCCTCAACTCTGGCAAATCAAGAGAATGCAAACCCCCAATGCTTTTGCAAATGAAAAAAAAAAGATAACATTACTCTCCTATGAAATTTTTTGCTGTACTTTTCTATCTGTGGGTTGTGACACTCTACATGGTCGCAGGGCCATCTTTAAGGAGGGGCAAAAGGGGCAGCTGCCCCGGGCCCAGTTACTCCTGGGGGCCCTAAGGCAGCTGCCCCATGGGCCCCCTGCAGCACCTGAGGTAATCAGGGGCCACAGCCCTTAATACTGCTCTGGACCGGGCCCTTGTAATATGGGGGTTGGCTGAATACAAACACACAGCTAGCCCCTCACACACTGCCCTGTGATCCCTTTTCTTCTCCGTGGCATGCTGGGAGGAAGTGAGGTCAGATCACTTCCTCCTTAGTGCCGCTGGGGAGGAGGCACACAGCACACGGAGGAGGATGCAAGCATTGTTGGGGAGAGGGACTGAGAAAGCTGATGGCAGACTCCCATCAGCCTGGGCCAACAAGCTCCCACTGGACCCCAGGGAAGCCACCTTTCTGTACCCAAAAGGTAAGGAGACAGGAGGGTGGCTAAA